ATCATCAAGATACCTTATATAGTGTTAATAATCTCGGTGTGGCTCTCCATGGGCAAGGAAAGTATGATGAAGCCGAGCTTATGCATCGACGTGCATCGCTGGGCAAAGAGGAAACCCTCGGGCTAGATCATCGGGATACCTTAACAAGTCTCTCTAATCTCGGTACAGCTCTACATAGTCAAGGAAAGTACGAAGAAGCAGGGATTATTCATCGACGTGCATTGGCTGGGAGACAGAAGACTCTCGGTCCAGATCATCAAGATACCTTACAGAGTGTCAATAATCTCGATGCGACTCTACGCTCTCAAGGAAAGTACAACCAAGCTGAGGTTATGCACTTGCCTACGTTGGCGGGCCGAGAGAAATCTCTCGGGCTGGACTATCGGGTATGACGAAGCGCAGATCATGCATCGGCGTGCCTTTGCGGCCGCAAGAACAGGCTCGAATCAGAAAATCGTGACAGCTTACCAAGCGCTATCAATCAGTTAGGCGGCGATCTCTTTGGATGCTAGCCCTATATCCACTCTTTATCCGAGGCTCCCCCGCAACCCTAACCAGCATAATGACATTTCTCCTTGTTCTTCCGTCCAAGAGACACCAACCCTCTATCGTATATGTGCGCTACAATTCTCCATGTTTGACTAACAACTCCTACATATCAAACCCCACTTGCGACAACAAACCCAATATCTCCCTTGAATGGAGTACCCCTACTATCCGTAGATACCTCGGTCAGGCACACCCTCGGTCCGCTCATACCCTCGGACGGATCTTACCCTCCATCATATACTCCCATCCTCAGTCGGAACTCAGAAAAACCAACAATCACACGGTGGGGGAGGCTTAGTGAGGCGGAATGTGATAACTAATTTGGCATATGATTGAAGTATGCTAGGAAGCGATCAAGATGTGGAAGGATATAAGGCAGCCTGCTTTCCTTTGTTATTAGTTTCCATACATTGTCCATCCTGTCCTCATCTCGGTCATCGCTACTCGGTCGATTAAGTCATTCATTCTTTTTGTTTCCTATTTTTCTTTATGCGAATATTTCTTTAGTTATTCTATTCATATAATGTCTTTATATCTCACTGTTTTCTTGCAATACCATCCAATTAAGTGCCAAAATCGCTTTCCGTAACCCCTTTTTTCTGAAAAGAATCTAAGTATGATTACTGTACTGTGCTATGAGAAAAACAACCACGAAGTTGGAGTCATGCATCAACATGCAGCAGAGGGTGAGGAGAACGCCCTTGGACCAAATCACCCAAACGTCTTATTATGTGTTATTCGACTAGCTGCGACGCCTCTTGCTAAGAGGATTTACGAAGAAGCTGAGATCATGTATCGGCACGCCTTAGGGGCTATGGAGAAAGCTCTGGTGCCCGACCATCATGCCGCCCCCACACCATGAATATTATAGGCAAGACGCTGTTTGGTCTGAAAAAGCACAGCGAAGCGGAAGCTGTGTGTCGACGTGAGCTGGTCGCTCGAGAGAAGACTTGTACCGGATCATCGAGATGCCCTACTAAGTTTCAATAATCTCGGCGCGGCACTGGGTTGGCAGGGTAAGCACCACGAAGCGGATATTAGTTATCGACGTGCCACGATAGGTACGGAGGAGTCACTTGGGTTTGGCCGCCTAGGTACCCCGATATGCATCTATAATCAGCCGGCGTGCACTGGTAGGACGAGAGATGATTCTGGGGGTAGGCCATTGGCACATCCTTCATCGCCCCGTCAAGCTATGTGCCGCACTGCACGAGACGAGAAAGCACGATGAAGCGGAGATTATGTATCGACGTGCTGCTACAAAGGAAAATAGACCTCTAGGGCCCGGTTACCCTGCGACTCCAAAATCCTTTTAACCACCTTTCAATGTTTCACTCTGCAACGAGTGCCTTGAGCGAAGCGCCATGGCGGAGGTGGAGGGTTTGGGTTTGGCTTGGCTAATTTTTTTATATGATACATCTTTACTTTCTTATCTACTGTTTCCCGAAATATCCGGTTGTTATAGCGTCGGGTTCCTTTCTTACTTCTTCATGGAGGCGTTGAATGGTTTAATATTTCGGATCGGAGTTAAGTTGGCTGCATAATCAGACATCCAGCGATTTATTCTTCCATTGGACCGAGGCTCTTGTTTATTACCACTGGCCCACTGATAGCCCAACGGACTAATGGTGCCAGAGCTCCCGTGGTTTCCTTTCGCAGCACCTACCCTTGCAAGATAGAGATTGTGTGGCTGGTGGAAAAATTGGAACTCCCCTACCTAGCCATGCACCATTGCAAACTATATAGATAAGCCATCTCAGACATCCAGTGTTCCTCACCTAGACTCAGCCATATGCTACATCTTACCACGCCACTAAAGGCAATAGACCTTCCACAAAAGTGTGCTAGGGGGTCAAGAGCAAGAGCAGATCTCGCACGTAAAAAGGATTGCCCCCCCCTCCCTCCCGGTGCTTTAAATAATCCACACCTAATGCTATAGGCACTCGAGCATCTCCAAAGGCCACAGAATCATTTCCCACGAGGAAGGACACACATATTGTAAAACCAACCCAACACAAGACACCCCTGTAGAGGAAGGATGCACACACTGCGTCTTGCAGGTATACTTTAGAACACCATACCCGGGGATCGTCGACACGATTCACGCCGTTCTATGAATCTCTGATCCTAGCCTTATATCCCCCCCCAAAAGACAAAAAAGGACAAAAAAAAACAGGGGGGGGAGAGAATCCAATTGGTTACCCTAATTCGAGTTTCTCAAACCCATCTTGCCGCCGAAAGGCGTACTCGTTCTGTATATATACATTCCTTGCTTGGGCATATATACCCGAAATGCAATAGTACAGCTTTCCTTCCTTCCTCCAAACCTCCCACCTCCGCAATTCCCCATCATACCCAAAGCGAGACATTATATAGGTGTGATCACCGGAGCTCACTCGGGATGTTCACTAAGCAGTGTCGTTCTCCCTTATGCTTACGATATGTTTGCGGCTGGTACAGCCACTTGGCAGCAATATTTCTGATCCTGGAGCTTTTTTTTTTTTTTTTTTACCTGTGAGTGGTGCAATGGGGGACCCGACCGGCAGGGAGGATAGTGGGATTGTGCGAGTTAAAGATAAGTCAAGAATCAAGGCGTAATTTAGCGGCGACAACTAGCGACTATTCCATATAGGGTCCAAACGAGGGGCCAAAACAGTGAATAGGACGCGCGTGGAATGAGCCGACGGTTTACCATTGGCACTTGATAGACACTTTTCTTTTCCCGTCAGTGAGTCCACCTCACCGTGCTCCAGCTGATCTCCTAGACATGGTCAAAAGGGCACAAAATACTGATTTACAGAAGCCCAGTCCGGCGCCTTTGCGGAGATATGACTCTGCTGTTTGAGACAAAATCCTCTGAACGCGCTTTTGACCAACTCCGACGTTCGGTTCCGGGTTGGGGACTGGAGTGGACTCAAAATCTCGCACACCGAACACATTCACTATGTGAGCAGGGGTTGGAGATTATTAAACGCATATTCGACGGGAATGATCTTCATAACGCAGGGTAGGGGGTACGTTTTTGTGTATCATGTCCTTGACAAATGCCGGAAATTGCCCAGGGGAGAGGAGAATCCTGGAGACCGAAATCCGAGGCAACGGGTTGTGATTGGAATTGCGCGATTAGCTGATCGCCAGGAGGGTGTGTAACGGGCAAGGACAATTGTCAATCGATAGGAGCTCACGTCGCGCATTTCCGGATGGATCGACTATTACCAGTGGGAAGAGCAAGGCTGAGTGAGAGTGGGCTAACCGACCCCGACACTTATCAGAACCCACTATAGAGCTTAGAAAAAGGAATCACGATGAGCTCCTCCAAGCGGGTATTTTTCACCGGGCAGCTTTAGTAATGTGAGACATGTTTCGCCAACACTCCTGCCGAGTGTAGACATATACGGTACTACCGTAAAATCCTTTAGATCCACTATCGGAGATCTCGATAGAAATCGATCTCTAAACCACAATAGGCTTATGAATATATTAACAAAATAACGAATACCAGTTAATGGGATCTAAAGGTTTTTACGGCGGTGGCAACCCTACTGACATCCCAATACTTCGATCCGTGCACGGAAAGTTGCGATATCGTCCAAGTTACTCGTATACTGAAGTATGGCGATGTATAGTTCTAGTCGGCTAAACCACCTGGGTGGAACTTCCGGGTTACAGACCCCATGGCGAGGAACTTGTCCTGTAGTAAACGAAGTTTAGCAGATCTGTAGAGATCGTACATGAGGAGAGTGATTTCACGCCGCCTGCTATTTCCTGCTTGGTGTGGGCTCCCCAATAGCAAGTGGCATAAGTGGAGAAGTGGGGTGGTTTAGTGGGGAGCTGTGAGCGTGTGTGTTGCTCTCTTAATACTCCGAGAGTTCAGATATCATGGTGCGGAGTTGGCGCTTTTTGATGGGAAACAGTGTGAGAGCGGTGGTTTGGGTTGCGGTAGTGGTGGGACCTATAGGATGCGGTACTTGTAAAGTATAGTACTTGGCGGTTATGTAGGTACTGTAACTTATCCAAATAGTGGATGATCGCAGCAGTAAGAATTAATCTTTCCTCTCTTTTACGGTATTTCGTCTCAGAGCATGGGCAAGAATTAGGCGCTGAGGTACCGTTTAGTCTAAGGATATCTAGCGGGTATTTCCCCGCCTGCCCTCTCCAGTAATTTGTACCTGTAGGGAGTGCGTAGGTGCTACATTGGGGATAACACAGTAGTTTTTTGTATGTTTTAGGCAAAATATACATAGTATGTACGGTATCACACTAATAGAGTTTACTAAGTCGCGCTTAGGTAACTTCGGGTCTATTATTCCCTTTTTCAATATCAGGCGCAAAAAGAATACTGTTCTATCTTACGCGCCCCGAGTGGCGCTGGTGCAATACCCGTTGGAAAAAAATACCCAAAACATCACAAAATTAATAACGCAACGCGCCCACGGCTATTAATCTCAAAGTGATGAGAGAGAGATATCATTCACTACAGAGCAACCTACCATTCCATAGTTACCATTTCGTAACGCCCCCGTCAATACATAGATCTTGCCCGGTCATGTAAGCGCTAGCGTCGCTGGCCAAAAACACGCATGCACCCCTAATGTCCTCCGGTTCTGCAACACGGTGGTTCATGATCTCGTCCTTCCACGATTCAAGCAAGTGCGGGAACGGGGCCGTCATTTCCGTCCGCACATATCCAGGCGACAATGAGTTCACGCGGATACCCTAACCCAGCAAATGTTGATCAGCACTGGCCCATTCACCAGCCATCACAAGAAACCATAAGGAAAGAAGGTGTAAATGGCCACAAACATATTTAACCATCTCTGCTGCAATACCCGGCACCATCGCCCTCACCGCCCCCTTGGTCCCACAATACGCACTACTATTCTGACTGCGAATAGCCATATAACTTGCGATACTAGCAATCACAACAATACTCCCAACCTTGGTCCCATATTCAATCATAGTCTTCGCAGCTAATTGTGCAGTATGGTAAACCCCCATGACATTAACGCCAAGTAGTCTCTCATGGTCTTCCCAAGTGGTATCTAAGAACTCGACATTCTTGTTGACCCCAGCACAGGGGACGCATATATCGAGTTTGCCACCAAAGTCTTTTTTGAAAGACTCAAAGGCGGCAGCGAGTGAGTCGGGGGAGGCTACATCGGCGAGGTAGTGCACGGCACGGACGCTGAAGCGTTCGGAGATTGAGAGAAAGCCCGGGGTTGGTGGGATTATGTCGAAGACGGCGATGTCGGCGCCGGCCTCTGCAAGGCCTTCAGCGAAGGCGAGACCGCACCCGCGGGAGCCGCCAGTTATGAGGGCAGTGCGACCTTGGAGGGAGAACTAGGGATTGTTAGTTGTGTGATGGAATTAGGTGAGGGCAGAGGAAAGATGGGGTTTGCCTTGCTCGGCGTAGCCATTGCGTGAGAATTGAAGAGAACGACTTAATTATTTCTGTTCTCTTGCAAAGAGGAAACAAACGAGGAGGTGATGGTGGTGAATATACTGAGTCAACTACCGGCGGAAGGCCAAGAAATGGTGACGGAGTGCTTTGCAAGCGAAGAGGCTGGAGGGGTTTTGCGAGACAGTCGGGTATCAATAGCTACACAGTTTAGCAATCTGTGTGTGTAACGTAATTGGCATTCCCCACCTTCGGCTGACGGGCCACCCCTTGGCTCATGGAGTCTTGGGTGGGGCAACCAGCACTTTTGTTTACCTCAACTCGGGTATCATGGGTATGATAGTCTAAATTATAGAAAATTGCGCCAGTACGAGCTGCGAGTACTCGAGAAGAGGAACTTGGCTTGAAGGGTATGGCTGGGGTCTTCCGGCGGTGACCCGCCGATAAAGGCTTCTCAGGAACTACAGCAAATTTACTTGAACAAGTGGCATTCAATGCCCCTTTAGTCAGCAGGAGGACACCAAGCCCCGCGTCGAAAAAGAGTTTGTATCATATTATGCAAAAAAAGCCTTACGCACACCGAAGGCCTCTACCCGAGTAACGATACTAGTACCATCGATACCATAATACATGCGAAGAGTCATGAGTTGGAGGGTATATTCCAAATGAGATGTGGGATCCTATGATAGAGGAGCGATATCGGTAGTCTAACGGCGGCGTGCAAATCGGTTGGAACGCAGGAATTATCCGAACAGACACAAGCCGTGCCAAGTAACCGCCAAGGTATGGGTCACCTCTACGAGGGGAATCGCAAGCAGCGGTGAAAAAGAAAAACTACAGCACGGTATCCGCATCACACTCTCAATGTGGGGAAACTTGATAATCTACCAAAAGCATCTCAACTCTGAAAATACAAGTAACACTTTGTCATGATGTCTCACTCGCCTCTTCTCCGAAGTTCGATTTCTATAAAATGTCTTGCAGGTAAAAAATTGGGCGTACTCGTATGATACCTGTCTCACACTCACTAAAGGCCCCACTAGATTCAAAAAAAAAAAAATCCTAAGAAAATCAGACCGCCAGGCCCGAGGCCTGTTGATCTTCTACTTTTCCTCTCTCATTTCCCTTCTTCGATATTGTCATGGTTTTAGATACATGATAGCATAGCCATGGCATGCGAGAAGGATCCCATGATGGTTGAAAACCTAAATCAAAAACGAAACAAAATAAAAATAGAACTTTTGAACACCCAGTAACACCCAACTTAAGGCTTTCATCAAAGCGAATTCATGTTTCAGACGAAGCTTCTGGGCATATCCAATCTCAGGCGACCGAAACCAGCCCTCAAGTTGTATCCCCAGCTGTACCACCCGAGTACCCGAAAGTAGTCTGCGCTTGAGTGTTTGGCGAGTCTTGTGTTGGAATGTGTTCTGATCTTCTTAAATATCATAGGAAGGCGAAAAGCGGGGTCGGGAAAATTGCAGAAATGAAACCTGTCTCCCCCTCCCAGGGCTCCTGTCTCTTGATACCGGTATAATGGGCTTCGATTGTGCCATCTACTCGTACTCCACGGTTCAGGTCCCTTTGAGGGGGGGTAGGCGGTTTGAACGGTATCCTCTTTGCGGGTTTCTGCAGGCGCTTAAGCCTTGATTCACCCCACTTTAGCCGAGGCGGGGCAAATCCTTATCGATAACAGGTTCCCTCCCCCTCCGAAACTGATCATTCTTCTACATAGCGGCCCTTTTCCTCTTTCGCCTTCTTTCATCTATTGGCCATCTCTACCCCCATTCGGTGTTATCCCCCTGAAAGTACCCCCCTATCGACCAAGCAACACCTGCCAGAAGATCATCGAAATGGGAAAAAAGAGTACATTGTCTTTCCAATTGCATATTTGTTTGGAATCGTCTGCTGATGGGTATTTCGACTTAGGAGTTCTCTGCACCTACGGGATTGATATCGATGCCGTTGCGGGGTGGCTGGGTTCTTATGGTGGAGAAGATAGCACGAGCGACATTTCTCGCGGAATGTTTGCCGGAACAATTGGTGTCAGACGACTCCTGAAGTTGTTCGAGAAGTACAATATGAAGACCACATGGTTTATTCCCGGTCATTCCCTAGAAACATTTCCGGAGGAATGCGCTATGGTGCGAGATGCTGGACATGAAATGTTTGTGCCCCCTTTACCGCTCCGCCGTAATCTTCCGAACCCTAACAACCCACAGCGGACTTCACGGCTATTCCCACGAAAACCCGGTCAACATGACCTGGGAACAACAGCGGGATGTTTTGGACAAATCATACCGTCTGTTGACCGACTTCTGCGGAAAGCCTCCAAGAGGGAACGTCGTTCCATGGTGGGAGTGCTCCGAAGAAGGCACCGAACTGATGCTCAAGTACGGAATTGAATACGATCACTCCATGTCGCATCACGATTGCCAGCCCTACTACCTCCGCAGGGGAGATAAATGGACGAAGATTGATTACTCAAAGAAAGCCGAAGAATGGATGAAGCCGCTCGAAAAGGGGCAGGAGAGTGGTCTTGTTGAGATTCCGGGAAGTTGGTACATCGATGATCTCCCGCCCATGGTGCTTCATACACAATTCCTAAACATATAAGCGAGGAATTGCTGATCAAGTGTGCATAGATGTTCATCAAGAATAACGCCAACTCTCACGGGTGGGTCAACCCTAGGGATATCGAAGATATCTGGCGTGATCACTTTGATTACTTCTACCGAGAGTACGATGAGTTCATCTTCCCGATTACAATTCACCCAGACGTATCTGGCCGCCCACATGTGTTGCTTATGCACGAGCGTTTGATTGAGCATATCAACAAGCATGAGGGTGTGGAGTGGGTCACCATGGAGTATATCTGCGATGACTTCAAGAAGAAGAACCCTTATCCCGCCGGAGCCTTACTCCCGAGTCCTCCGGGGGAGATCCTGACAAAGAGTAAGGAGCAGGTGGAGAAGGAGATTGAATATAAGGGCGATGAGAAGGTCTAGGCGACCTGTTATTCCCCCATTTTTTCCGTTTTTCAAGCTGTGCAAATATATGTTTGCTCGGGATTATGGGTTAGGGTTGGCATGGCTCTCTCAGTTTTATTAATACAGATTTAACGGGGTCCAACGATTATCTTTGGCAATTAAAAATTGAGGGCCTGTTTGGGTATGATATAACCGTTCCGTTCTGTTGCCTCGTATAAAGTGATTGTTTCAAAACGGAAGAACGAGCGTTTTTATAATCGAAACGGCCGCGGAGCGGAACGGTTGCAGCATTGCCGAACATGCCCTAAAATGATCTCATTGTTCTCCTCGCGCAAGCTGTCTGAGGTCCAGACCGGTTCTAGATACTTCACTCGTATAGTGGGCCCCCGACCCGTACTTCTCTATCCTATTCCGGTCGGGGAGAAGCGGCTGCAACGTAACTAGGCTCTCGCAACCTCCCAACGGATATTGAGTTCTCAGAATTGGTGATTCGGCCTCAAACGCGGAACATGAGTTCAAAACATCTCCCTTGATTCCCGGTGATTACAAAGCAGGATTGTAATATCAGCGACAAGGAGGCACCGTAGGGGGTGGGATAGTTGAGGATCCTGTCAGGGAGTTGGAGTGCCTCTCCTGGTGGGGCCTGTTGCGCAGCTCTTTTTATTCGCCTTAACTGAGGCTAGAAGGGAAGATTTTGGCTGCCCGCTCTCCCCCCAATCCAAAGAGGGGAAGCTCTGGACGCCCTAGCCCGATTCCCAATTATCCTAGCTTCACGGCACAACGGGTCAAGAGAATTGCGCCGTTAGTTGTCTCTCTATTTGTACGAGTATCACAGGAATTACTCACCGAGCAAAACTCCTCGGGTTTGACTCGGAGCATCTACGGAGCATCCACTGGGTTAATTATTCCGCTACTTGTACCATTTCGCCCCAATCTACAAACTAAGGCTGGGTACCGAGAAACTGCGGCTCGGGCGCCTAACTGCAAACTTTGATGGTGCATCCAGAACATTTCCACCCACCCCTCCATCCCTATTCCGCCAAGACCCTTGCCTAACCCCTCTTGCTATCGAAATTCAGTACTAGTACCGGTAAAGTACCAATTGCCCCCACTTCTGTGGTCACCCTCCATCCTCCGCGCCTAACCGAGGCTTGAGATTCGTTCAATGGTCGGCGAGTGTACGAGTACGGTACTCGAGTAATGCTCCATGTCACATAGAGAGCGCAGAGCCTCAAGGGCAAGAGTGCTTATATTCGGGTTGAGTCCTGCTGACGTGGATGGTTAGAGCGAATAGCAACTCTTGCCCCCGGGAGAGGCAAAGGAAGTGGGAAGAGGTGGCCTTTGAATAATTCTTCTTTCAATTCTATGAATTAGAATTCGTGATGGGGAGAGCTTGTATTCGACTTAATGTACCGATTCCACTTGTCTGCCTTAATTTTCTTGTGATATCCGGGGAAGGAAGCTGGCTGATGGAATGGCGGGTGGGTTGCAGGTCATCGTCGTCGGAGCCGGCCTAGGCGGGCTGGGAGCGGCGATAGCAATCTCCCTCGCGGGCCACAGAGTAACGGTTCTAGAGGCTTCTCCTACGGCCGGAGAAGTAATCTTTCCCCTAGTTCCTTATTGTTCGACTGCTGACATCGGATAGATAGGAGCAGGAATCCAAATCCATCCGAACGCTTCAAAGATCCTAACAGCATGGGGCATGCGCGAAGCCCTCCTCCAATATGCCACGCTGCCAAAGCAGGTGAACATGATCGGCTGGAAGGGCAACCACATAAGCCACATGAATTTTGCCGAGCACGCAAAAAGGTACAACTCCCCCTTCTGGGACTTTCACCGCGCTTCCCTACACAAGTGCTTGCTGGACCGGGCCGTTGAGCTCGGCAGTAAAGTCCTGATGAACTCGAGGGTGGACCATGTGGAGTTCGGGCAGTTGGGCGGCGCGTGCACGGTTTTGCTGCACAATGGGAGGAGGTTGAGTGCGGATTTGGTTGTGGGTGCCGATGGGATCAACTCCGTCATGAGGGAGCGCTTAGTTGGGCGCCCGGATAAGCCTACGCCGACAGGGGATTTGGCGTATAGGTTGTTGATCAAGACGAAGGATATGATGGAGGATCCCGAGTTGAGGGGTTTCGTCACCGATCCGCAGGTCAATTATTGGATGGGACCTGATGCACATGCTGGTATTCTCCCATTCCTTCTTAATTGAGCAGGAGGTAAAGTTGCTAATGGGCTGACAGTTAATTACGTCCTAAAAGGTGGAGAAGAATTCAATATGGTCCTTCTCGTCCCGGACGACATCCCCGAAGGTGGTGCAACAACAGTTGAAGGAAATGTGGACGAGATGCGAGCAATCTACAAAGACTGGGACCCAAGGTGCTCCTCTCGTCCACCCCTTTCCTCCCCCATCACACTAACCATTCTAAAAGGATAGGAAAGCTCCTCGCCCTCTGTGAGTCAGTCTACAAATGGAAACTCTGCATCCGCGAAGAACTACCCAACTGGTCTCACCCCTCTGGCACCTTCACCCTCCTCGGCGACTCCGCCCACGCCACGCTACCCTACCTAGCTTCAGGCGCAGGTATGTCCCTCGAAGATGCCGCAGTCCTGGGCGAATGTCTTTCCCGCATATCCTCAAAATCCGATATTCCGCTAGCATTATCAGTATACGAAAAATGCCGGAAGAAGCGTACCACGAGGATAGTGCAGAGGGGCAACTTCCAGCAGTACCTCTATCACCTACACGATGGGCCGGAGCAGCAGGAGAGAGACGCAAAGATGAGGATGGTGCCGACCCCGCCTGGGGAGTGTCTTCCATGGAGGGATCCTGGATTTGCACCTTGGCTGCTTGGGTATGAGGGTTTGAAGGATGTCGAGGCATGTTGGCCGAAGGATATGGAGGGGGGGAGAGGGGGGATAAGGGAGAGGGGTGACGGGGAGATTCGTGCGAAGTTGTAGGCTGTTGGAGGGTTGTAAGGATACTATACGCTTTGTTTCATCCCCTTTTCTCGTCCAAGTTTCCTGCATGCCCCATCTCACAATTTTCTTGCTGCTCTTTACTCTCCAGTCCATTTTGCTTGTGCTACTAGTGCACCATGAATAAACTAAGATTTCATGTATTACTTTCCCGCGTGAGTTGTCATAAAGCGTGGCTTGCACACAGGACCCAGAGGGATGAACAGCACCTGAATTCTTTAGCGCCCGCGGCCCTAGAGATTTGCGAGCTTACATGATAAGCTATTCTTGAAACGCATCCAGTCTGCTCCAAACAAAAACCTTGTTAGAAATTACGTTATTCCTTTCCTATGCGGTGATGGGGCTGTGTTGGTCATGTGACACAGCCACATGACCGAGTATATATGCTATTGTGTTCTAGCATCTTCTAGAGATTTCCTTGGTATGGGGCAGTGCTCATGTAATGATAAGGGGTATATAAAGGGCAGGTTCAGCCCTGTTCTTAGAGAGAGAGCGCAAGCTTGGATTAATCTTTAAGTCTTCAGATTTTATTGTAGTTATTATTATTACTTCGTTATCACAACAGTTAGTATAATAGAGACAAATATTTTTTCAGGTTATGAGCCTGGATTTATGAGATACTTCCACATTCCTGCCATAAACTAGAAGACTTTTGAAGCACACCAAGCAAACGCATTACCGTCTCCCTCCCTCAACCAATTCTCTATTACATCATGGTGAAAGATTTCTTTTATGATATATATGAGTGTCTACCTACCCCTTCTAAATACAGCTTTAACCACTGTAAAGGCTGCAACCACCTCTGACCGCTAAACTTCGATAATTTGTTTCCTGTATGCTGCCAAGTTTACTACACAAATATCTGAAGTTATACGCTAGATTATCTCAAAGATATCAATTGATACAAATAACTTCCTGACTCAGGACAAAAGAACTAAATGGTCTACATTACGATGTCATCCGAAAATGACACAAAATATGGCTTCAGAATTTCTGTCATGGACTACCCCAAACTCCATGGTCAAGAAAATTATCAAACCTGGGCTGATATCTAGGAGATAGCTTTCAAGGTCCTGGATTAGAGGATGTAGTATCAGGCGAATCTGTGAAACGAGAAGCTCCTTCCCCAGGTAGTGCAACGACCTAATCCATGCAAGTCAGGAAATGGACAAGGAAAGACAAAAGAGTAAAGTTTTTCCTATACCAAGCCATTGACTCTACTTTCCATGCTGACATATCTGCTAATGCAACCTCCAAAGGTGTTTGGCAAGCCTTCAAAGGTAGATTCCACAAAGAAACCCCTGCAACCAACATGATCTTACCAGAAGCTATCTAAAAGATAAAACTCATCTCTGGAGAATCAATCCCCAACTGTACAATTAAGTTTGAAACTACTTGGGACTGATTAGCTCCAAGATGTGCCAATGACACTGAATGTGAAGGCAACATTAATGAATTCCATACCACATTGAGGACATGGACCAAATCTGCATCAGTAAAAGAAACGGTGTTCATGTACTCCATAAATGACCTATATTCTGACATATGCAACAAGTTATCAACATGGAAAACCATTCGCTATGTGTATGTCAGAGACTACTTTATCAGAAGGGCTGCCGAGAAGTTAGAAGGAGAAGAAGAAAAGATACTTAGTATAGAGAGAGGTAAGAAAAAAAGGATTGTAGCTATTATGCAAATAGGGGAAAAACAAGTGATAACCACACAATTGCGAAATGTCCAAGTCTACAAATGGAGAAGAAGAGAAAGGAAAAGGGAAAACAAAGTCAAACAGCCATGTCAACCGACACAAAGGTTATAGTATTGATAGCTAGAAATATGCCAACAAATTCGGAGATTGTAGAGGGTAAAATCTATACAAATTGGTTATATGACGCAGGTGCTACAAGTCACCTTTTCCTAAACTCAGGTGATTTCCTCAATCACACCACTTCCTCTGAAACCATAGTAATCGCCAATGGATGAATTCATCAGGCAATAGCATCCAGAGATGCAAGAATCAATGTGCATCTGTTGGATGGATGACAACACACAGTTATCCTTAAATGGACAATGTATGTTCCCTCTATTCGATATTTATTGGTATTAGAATCCCGAATGCATGATGTTGGAGTAAGGATATTGATGGAAAAGAAGAAGAAATTGTGAGAAAAGGAAGAGAAAATATTCATAGTAGCGGATAAGAAAGAAGGACTATAGTATATAAGAATGAAAAAAGACAGCATTATGATTTCCTCCTACGAAGAAAGGCATCAGGCTCTTGGATATCTGAAAGTGATTAAGCATTGTTACAAGGATGTCTCCCCTATCGACACTGCTCAATAGTTCGATTACCACACCTGCAATAAGTATAAATCAACTCATAGCATACCAAAAATGATTGAAGTAAGCATGAAATCACTATTTGAAAAAGTGCATTCCATTTTGATTGGACGTATGTCAGTACCTACTCTTGGCAAGAATGAGTAGTACATGACATTTATTGATGATTACACCAGGTACCATTGGATATACTTAGTAAAGTCTAAGAATAGAGTAGCCACAGCAATACAGATCTTTTGAGAACTAATAAATACACAATTCGGTAAAAAGATCAAATGACGACACAGTGGCCAAGGTACTGCATATGTTAACTAAAATGTTATTCAATTCTTCGAATTAAATGGAATCATTTATACCACCTCCTCTGCATATTATCCTGAATTGAACAAAGTCACAGAAAGGTTAAACTGAACCCTTACGACAATGGTACCGTGTATGATGTCAGGAGATCGAAAGTCTTTATGGAGGAAAGCCTACTTGTAACGTATTCGCAAGGTGCTATTCACGTTATCGGTAATTGATACGATAGTTGGCAGGTGGCCTGCTCTTCCAGAGAGGAGGCGAGAGCTGAGAGCTAAAGGAGGCTTCGAGGGTGTACTGAGGAACAAAGAAGTAACCATTCAATCAAGTATATTGAAATACTGTCTGTCGAAGTCTGCCTTTTCTATCGTAGAAATAGGCGGTCTTTAAATACACAAATCTGTTCATGTCGAGCATGAACGAAACTAATCAATGGTATCAACCGATACACTTTGGTGAAACTAATTAAGTATCAAAGCGATACTTAAAACAAAACATAAAACAAAACCAAGTATCAAACGATACTTAAAACAAACCAAGTATCAAAGCGATACTTAAAACAAAACATAAAACAAAACCAATAACCGAGTACATGTACCGGTTATATTCCCCAAAACAAAACAACTGTTTAAATAAACAAAACCTAATAATCATCAAAAGCGGATTCTGAGAAACTGATGGCTTCAGTTTCTGCAAGAAACTCTTCGTCATAAGTGTCACACCATGGGCAAGAGGAAATTGTAAGGAAACATTTAGACTCAAAGAAATGTAAATCAAAGTAGTCACGAATACCAGATTCGCGCTGTACATCAACCCAAGTATGGTTGCAATTAGGACAGTAGTCTATCCAGTGGATTTCGAAGTAGTCTTCAAGTTGGATAACATCGTGGTTCAAAAACAGTCCAACAATCTGTTGTCGCAGCCTCACATTGACTTCCACATAGTTTGACATCGTTATGGTATTCGGATGGTGATTGGTGACTAGATAAGGTTGTCGAGAGCCTGCTCCATAGCTTGATTTTCCTCATCGCTGCTTTCGAATTCTGACTCAAAGTATGGCGCCCAAAATCCATCTCTAGCTTCGAGTTCTGCAAGCCATCACTCAGATTCTGGTATCGTGGGTGTCCAGCACATGATGATGTAGTTGATCGTTGGGGGGAGGGATCCGTTTGGCATATTGTCTTGCCACCATCTATTCACCATATCCATAGCGTGCTCTAGTCCTTCCAGTAGTTCCCAGCTGTTCTCACTCGTCGGATGTCCTTTCCATTTGACTAGGAACTGATCATTTCCATGCCAAAGGCGGTGGTCTCTGATTTCTTCAACTTCCCATTCATCTTTCTTCTCAATGATGATAGGTGCGGGTCGAGAGTGGGTTCTTCCAGGGAACTTGGAGTCGTCATTGGGGTAGAATCGTTTGACAGCAGAGGCGTGGAAAACTGCAGTATTGCAACGGTACATGCGTCCATCCATCTGAACAGTGTAGTTCTCTGTATGCTCGAAAAAGGATATGACTTTGAAAGGTCCTCGCCGTTGGGGTTGCAGTTTCTTGCTGCGTCCAACATTGGTTATGAACATGTTTCCATCTACCATGAGCATATCAACTGGTAGAATAGGGACATGATTGCGTCGTCACTTCTGAGCAGTAGTGGTACTTTGGAATCGGGCAGCTTTCACAGCTTGGAAGGTGTCATTCCGAATCGCTTGGTGGCGGTTTAATTGGTCATCGGAGGCAGGGACTGAGGAGTTCTTGAATAGAGTTGTAGGTAGGAGAGGATATTGGCGGCCGAAGATTGCTTTGTATGGAGACATTCCCAAGTTGTCTGAAAATCCGGCATTGATATATGCTGCTAGCTCAACAAGGGCTGGTTCCCAGTTGGTTTGTCGTTCATTGATCATGTTCCTAATTCCGGTCTTAACTTCGTGGATTTTTCGTTCTGCTTGGCCATTACTCTCGTGGTATCCAGGGGTAGCCATAATGTGGTTTATTCCGAGGGAGGTCAAGGTTTGCTTCCAAAATCTGGCGGTAAAGCGGGGATCAGCATCACTGACAATAGATAAGGGGTACTGATGGGGGGTAAACAGGTATCGTTGGAGGTTATTCCAGGTGTCTTTGGAGGAATCGGTAAGCTTCATTGGTATGAGCCACGTGTATCCAGAGAATCGATCCACAGCTACCAAGATGGTGTCATATCTAGGGGATGTATTGAATAGTCCTGCGAAATCGATGGCATATGATTCGAATATTTCACATGGTAGTTGGAGGGTCTGTGCTTTTCCTTCAGGTAGTTGTGTTCACTCCTTGTTTGCCTGGCAGAGTTCACATTGTTTGACGAAATCAC